ATTCTCCTGAAGGACCTCAAGGCAGCCATGCCGATAGCAGCAGGAGAAACATCTGGGGTGATTTTGCGTCTTGCCCACTAAGTCTTTCCTTCCACAGAAGGAGCAAAAGAGGAACTCTCATTTCCTCGTAAATTTGGACCAATTTCTCAACTTTGAGTTTCTGCCTAAATCAGGGGTCCGCAACTTTAAACACTTAAAGAGCCACCTGGACCCGTTTCCTACACAAAAAAACATTGGAAGCCGCAAAACCCATGTGTGCACGTGCGTGTGCCGGAGGGGGGGGGGGCTTGATTGAAGAGTTTAATTAAAAAAAAGAGAGGGTGCTGTGCATGAGTTCCCCCCCCTCTCTCTCCCTTTCTCTCCCCCCCCCCTCTCTCTCTCCCCTCTCTCTCCATTTCTGCTATCTTTTGCTCACCTGGCAAGCTGGCTTCACGGTGATCTCGGACAAGCTGACACACATTCTTAATGGGCTGGCTCTCTCCTGCTCTTGGTCTGCCAGTCCTCTTCCCCCACTCAGTGTGAGTGTGAGTGTGTGTGTGTGTGTGTCTCTGTGTGTGTGTATGAGAGAGCGAGAGCTGCTGCTGTTTGCAGCTTTCTGCTTCTTCCCGCAAAGGAGGAGACCCACCCAATAAACTTGTCAGCTTGGAGAACAGTGTGAGACCACTCTCTTTTTTACACACACACACACACACACACACACACACACACACACACAGAGAGAGAGAGAGAGAGAGAGAGAGAGAGAGAGAGAGAGAGAGAGAGAGAGAGAAGGGAAGCACAAGTGCCTCTCTCTTTCTCTGTCTCTCTTTCTGCAAATGGTGGAGGAGGCTGAGAGCTGCAGGAGTAGGCTCAAAGAGCCACATGCGGCTCCGGAGCTGCAGATTGCCGACCCATGGCCTAAGTGATGGCATCCAGTAAATGAGGTCACAGAACAGAAACACCCTCCACACAGAGATCAATATTTACATTTTGAGTCACACCACCCACCGGAGCACAAAATGGGAGCT